AATTATACCAAGAAAAGCTCAATATCACATTCCATTTTTTCCATGATTTTTTTTGCTAATGAAGTAATTTAGTAAATTTGGTTTTTGTTTACACAGAGGTGTTAAATATTTTCAAGACCTTTGTGTGAGATTAAGCTTTACATACCCGAGTCTCTTGTTTCAAGTGGTACCTGCTTCAGTCTCTGCAGCACCTGTTGTTGCACCCATGGGAGCCTTTCAGGGCAGGAATAGCTGCATCTCTTGCTCTGTTAAAAAGAGAAAAACTTTTATACTTAGATTGAGACTCTTGGGGAAGTTATATTTAAGTAGGAGGAGTTTTATTGATACTAAGATGTTGGAATTAAAGAAGTTGTAGGAACATCATATAAAGAAAATGTCTGCTTAGCTTATTTGACCCTGATTTTCTTTCAGTTTTATGTTACTTCTTTGTTCTTGGATTACCCAGATTCTGTCCATTGAAATATTATACACTTTTCTCCTATTTTCTGAGCTCTAGGAGTATAAATATTATTATCCTTTTAAAAATTAGATTTGCATTAATGCGAAGTTGTTTCTACTGTTTTAAAATATTTTTTTCTAATTCTGAAGTTAACAATGATCCTTATAGAAGATAGAGAAAAGAATAAAGAAGGAGGGGCTGGCCCAGTGGCACAGCAGCTAAGTTCGCACGTTCTGCTTTGGTGGCCCAGGGTTTCCCGGTTCGGATCCCGGTGCGGACCTACTCACGCTTGTCAAGCCAAGCTGTGGCAGGCGTCCCACATATAAGGTAGAGGAAAGTGGGCATGGGCATTAGCTCAGGGCCAGTCTTCCTCAGCAAAAAGAGGAGGATTTGTGGCAGGTGTTAGCTCCAGATTAATCTTCCTAAAAAAAAAAAAGTAGAGAAGGAAATAAATATTTTTGTAATCTGACGACTACTTTTTGTGTCTTTTTTAACAGACAGTCCAGGTTTTGAGCTTTGTTTAATACTCTGTGACCAATTGTATTAATTTCCTATGGCTGCTGTAACAAATTACCACAACCTTAGTGGCTTAGAGCAACAAATTTATCATTTTACAATTCTGTAGATTAGAAGCCCAGCACTGGTCCAACTGGACTAAAATCAAAGTGATGGCAGGGCTCTGTACCTTTCTGGAGACTTTAGAGGAGAACCCATTTCCACGTCTTCTCCAGCTTCTAGAGGCCCCCATATTCCTGGTTCATGGCCCCTTCCTCCATCTTCAAAGCCACAAATGTGGAGCCGAGCGCTCACATTGCATCACTCTGACCTCTTCTGTCTCTCTCTACTACTGTTCAGGACTTTTGTGATTACGCTGGGCCCACGCAAATAATCCCGGAGAATCTCTCCATTTCAAGTCCGTAGCCTCATCATGCCTGCAGGGTTCCTTTGGCTGGTGAGGCAACACCTTCACAGGGTCCCGGGATTAGGACTTGGACATCTCTGGGGACCTTCATTCTGCTACCTCACCAATGTAGTTCATACATGGCTGAATTGCTGTGTAGATCTCTAAAGTTGTTTATTCTTTTTTGGTATCTTTCTTTGACATTTTAAAACTGTATACTCAGCTTTTAGAGTAATTTTAAATTGTCAGAAATGATTTATCTTTAAATATCTTTTTTTCCCAAGATTGGCACGTGAGCTAACATCTGTTGCCAATTTTCTCTCTCCTTTTTTTTTGCCTTCTTCTCCCCAAAGCCCCCCAGAATAGTTGTATATTCTACTTGTATATTCTACTTCTAGTTCTGCTGTGTGGGACGCCACCTCAGCATGGCTTGATGAGTGGTGCTAGGTCCATGCCCAGGATCTGAACCAGTGAAACCCCAGGCCACCAAAGCAGAGCACAAACTTAACCACTTGGCCACAGACCAGCCCCTAAATATTTTTAGCTGAGTAGGGGTGGGAAGGAAGGTCTGAAGTCAGAGTAGCCCAGACCCCCTCCAGGCAATTGAGATGGACCACCCGGCAGTCCAGAGGAGATAGGATAGTGGAAACCGTGCTGCCTTCTGATATCTCTAGTGGGTAGGGAGACAGCTGCATGCGCAGTAGGGTTTAGACATGTTTATGGTGCTGAATTCTTATCCTGGGATATTGCTAGAGCTCATCTCTATGCCCATTCCGAGTATTAGTTTCTAGATAAGAGTGTAATACCTAAAGAACAAAGGAACAGGTAAACAGAAAACAAAACCCAACCCAGAACACCTACTCTGTGAGAATTCCGGTTCTTACACTTGATGTAAAGGAAGAGGCCTGGGGTTATCCTTTGGCCTCTGGGGCAAGTGCCAGGATGCCGCCAGCCCCCCAAATAAGGGAGGATCTGGATTGAGAAGAGAACCTGCCACACTGGTCAGAGTGGAGTCTGGGCAAAAACTAAGACTAGATGGCAGGGCCTGCAGCCTGGGGGGGGGGGGGGGGTGAGTATGTCTTTTCTTGTCCATGTGCACAGTGTAGAAGATGGGGATACAAAGATAGATGAGTTTTGCCCTTGAGGAGCTTACAAATTAGTGGGGAGACAGACAAATGCACTAATACTGTAGCGTTAATAGTGGGATAGCTGTTGTTGACAATCTTAGTGGAGCCCTTCAAATGCGTGAAGACAGCAGTTGTGTTTACCTATAACCTGATTGTCTCCAGGCTAAACATTCCTTTAACTGCTTCTATGGAATGTTTCTAGACTTCGCATGTCCTGGATGTTGGTTTTAGGATACTTTCTAGTGTGGCAAAGAGGCAACTAAAATAATCTTTTCCCTCACTTCCACATGCCGTCCATCATCAAGTGCTGTAAACTCTTCCTCTGAAATGTATCCTGAGCTGGTCTGTTTCTGTCTATGCTTGTTCTGGTCACTACACCTTTGCCTGGACTACTGCAGGGGTTTCCTGACCCATCTGTCTGCTTTTGCTCTTGTCCTCTAAAATCATTCTTCATGCAGCAGCTAGAGGGATTCTTCTAAAGCTCAGTTCTAAACTCGAGGCATTAAGGCCCCTGTGTGTGCCCCTGTGGCTCTGGCTTCCCCTTGCTATTAGAGTGCAGTCTGGGCTCCTGACCTGGCCTGTGGCACCCTGCGGGGTCGTATCTGCCTGCAGTTGGATTTCTGGGCATCCCTGCTCTCCCTTTCCCAGTGTGCTGCTGCCCCAGTGGCTTCCGCCAGAATGCTCTTTACTGATTTGTCCTGGCTGGGTCCTTCTTAATCAGATCCCAGTTTAATGGGCACCTTCTTAGAGAGGCCTTCCCTGATTACCCCATCGAAAGTAGTGCTGCAGGCACTGTTGTTGGGGAAATAGAATTAAAAACAATATCCCAACCCAGAAACCCTCTCCACAAGGGTAGTAGAGAAAGAAAACACTTTTATTATTGAATAAGCGTTAAACCAGAATGTGATAGGTATCACAGGCAATCTACTAAGAGATCGCAAAGATAGAAAGAAATGTCACCCTTTTATATAGCCAAGCAGATACAACATGTTACGCACACATTTTCATGATAAATGATAACTAGTCCTCAGTAAGAGGCCTTGACAGCACCATTTGTCACACATAGTTCATCCTAACTTTACCTGGTAATTGAGATGACCATCTGTATTAGCTAATTGGCTTTATCCAGAGGAAAAACAAACTCCTATCTTTATGACAGGAGGTTGTTTTGTAACTTGGAGCAAAGAGGCCACTGAAGTTAGGCTCCTACCCTCCCACAGAAACTGGGAGATAGGGCTGCTATCTCCTTTGATGTTTACATTCCAAAGAGATGGCTCCCAGTCCTTGAGAAAGACATTCCTAGGTCAGAAAGCGTACAAAATGCCAATCCAGTCTTCAAAAGAATTTACGTACATTTCAAAGAAAGGAGAAAGTACTTACAATGGCAATTTTTCTAATGTAAATACTCAAAGAAAAAGGAGGAGAGGGAAATCTCTTCTCCTGTTTTCTTTTTTTTTTTTTTATTGAGTTAATGATAGGTTACAATCTTGTGAAATTTCAGTTGTACATTAATGTTTGTCATTTGTGTTGT